CCCTGGCAGAAAGTTGAAATAATACGATTAATTAAACACAACATTTCAAGACCGAATACAAACGTTGAAAATAAAAGAAATTCTATTTATTCGGTACGAAGTCTATTCATTCGGCACCCTCATCGTCGCTCTTCTCAATTTCGAAATCGGAATAAGGAAAGTAGTGGCGATGATACAAGGGCGAGGCTGAATCAATGCCCACGGCTTCGAGAGCTTCCTCGGTTTGAAGGGCCTTGATCCAACCGTGCTTGAATCCACGATTTTCACATCGGCAGACCTCCTCGACAAGGTCTCGTTTGGTCTTCTCTATTCCGACTTTCAGGCCATCCTGAAACCCCTTTTCATAACTCGAGGTCCGTGGGTCACTCTCTCAACGATTGTTTGAACATTCTTCAGCTCTCGAAGCTCACGCTCAGTCTTTTCCACGCGAATCTCCAGACTGCGATTCCTTTCGTCCCTTTTCTTACTCTCACGCCGCGCTTCCCGCAGACGCATGCCGACTTCGTGAGCAGTATATAGTCCTTTCACGGCCCCATGTATGCCGTCTCGAAATACTTCGAAATCTTGACGTCCGACCATCAATTGTTGGACTTTAGGCGGGAAGATCTGTCAAGCGAACTCGACTGCTACACCTGGGTCTTTAATGATAGAATTCACTTCCGTCATTGGTCTATTCCTCACAAAAATTGTAAAACTCAACGGTCGTGGCGTCGCATCAGGCTCAATTCTCGGTCGCGGGCGCGGAGAATTTCCCCGTTGTTGCCTGTCCTTTCGGGGTGATACGCTTCGACGACTAAGGGGCTGCTGTGTTTCCCTATCCTTGGACGTTCTTCTTCCTGTACGCATAGGCTCGCTATTGCGACTCATTGCGGCGTCTAATTCAGCCAATCTTCGTCCCTCCCAAGTTGCCTGAATGGAAATAAATAGGGCCTCTGGCGTGCACCCGCGCCACTTATCCTTCAATGTATGCAGCTCTCCCGAGGCAACGTCAGTAATCCCAAATGTCAAAAGTCGGATGACAATTGTCCAGCCCACGAGTTTCACCATTCGGCTTCCCAACTCCAAAAGCTCACGCCCGTGCTAAGGCGAGGGCAATTTCACTAATCTGGTCGGCCATGTTTTCAAGCGCAAGCGCCGATCAATGTGTGCCTCAGCCAGCCAATGAGTTACGCCATTCGGCTTCTCAAGCTCGCGTCTTGGCTAAGGTAAGGGCAGATTTACTAATCTGATCCGCCATGTTTTCAAGCGCAAGCGCCGATCAATGTGTGCCTCAGCCAACCCACGAGTTACGCCATTCGACTTCTCAAGCTCGCGCCCTGGCTAAGGCAAGGGCAGATTTACTAATCTGGTCCGCCATGTTTTCAAGCGCAAGCACCGATCAGTGTGTGCCTCAGCCAGCCCACGAGTTACTCCATTCGGCTTCTCAAGCTCGCGTCCTGGCTAAGGCAAGGGAAGATTTGCTAATCTGGTCAGCCATGTTTTCAAGCGCAAGCGCCGATCAATGTGTGCCTCAGCCAGCCCACGAGTTACGCCATTCGGCTTCTCAAGCTCGCGCCCTGGCTAAGGCAAGGGCAGATTCACTAATCTGGTCCGCCATATTTTCAAGCGCAAGCGCCGATCAATGTGTGCCTCAGCCAGCCCACGAGTTACGCCATTCGGCTTCCCAAACTCGCGCCTTGGCTAAGGCAAGGGTAGATCTGATCGGCCAAATACCTAATCTAAGCAGCCGATCTAACCATAACCGAAAGTAATAACATTCATCAACAACATCTTCCTTAGCCAGTTGAGCACAACTCTGGAAATTTTATATACTCAAGTTACCAAACAGAAAGCTACAAGATGAAAAATACTAAATTAAAACCGTAAAAATACATTCAAAAAACAAACACTGACTGCTGCAAAAGATGAAAAATACTAAATTAAAACTGTAACAATACATGCGACATCCTAAAAACTGTTAGTCGGCCGGATCAGCCATCGGAATCAGACTCCAATGGCTCAACATCCACTTGCTCATATGGTATTGGCACAATCAATGAAGCGTTAGCAGCAGCAAGGGCTTTGTGCCAGCCATGTTTGAATCCCCGATTTTCAAACTTGGGGACTTGGTTCACATACTCGGCGAGCCCAGCATTTTTCCCGGCCTCGAATACTTTGGAAGACTCCGATTCGGCTGATTCCTTCGCCGTCTTCATTTCAGCCAACTCAGCCTCCAGTTTGGAGATCTCTTTTTGGGCCAACTTGAGCGCATCTTCGCTCACGTCCGCCTTTCTCTCGGCATCAGACCTCAATTGATCTGCGCAACGAGCCTTCTCCATCTCGGCGTCGGCCCTTGAGGCTTCCTTGTTTGCCCTCAACGCTTCGACCTCGGCCCTTCTCCTCTGGCCTTCAACTTCCTCGCGTAAATGACCAATCTGTTCGACGGCGTCGCGATGGCAATAGCCCATATCGGCTATCCATCCGACAATCTGTAAAACAAGAATTTAGAACCATAACTTCAACAGTATTTGGATTAAGTGAAGCTAAGTTCGAATATGTACCAAAAGTGCCGATTGGGCGGCCAATGCTGTCGCATTTAGATCCGTTTCCACCCGAAAAGCCTCCTTGTCAGACGGCAAAGACACAGGCGTAGCCAAGCTAAATGCGACTTCTGGATCTTTAAGCGCCGAAGCATCAGAAGAAACCGACACGTTTTTTATCATCGGCTGAATGACAAAAGGAACGATCACGTCCGATCCCTCTAATCGAGGACGTTTTCCATGTTCTTCTACGCCGGCTTCAAACTCGGCGGAGCGTTTCTCTGCCTCGACTTCTTGGCCGACCTGCACAATCAAGGTAGATTCGGCATCTCAATTTTCTGCCGTCTCCACCTCAATAACGCGGAAGGACTCTGATTCGCTAGCAGGCAGGGAAAATTGAGATGTGGTGGCAGGTGGTGCTTCAAACGGAAGGGCCTCCGCTCTTCGCCGCGCGGCCAACCTTTCTGCATTCGCCTTCCTGGCAAGTTTTGTCAGGCTTAACCCGGTCATGTCTTCGGGGTTTACAGTGGGAATATCCTCTAAACCGTGAAAAACACCGTCAAGCAAAAGATCCCCTCGGCCCGAAACAGATGGGGGATCGGCCAAATTCAATACCGCTTCAGATTCGATTTCGGATTGATCTGATTCGGTAACGTTAGCTACACCCCGCTCCGAATCTGACCCTCCAAAACCAACCTGCCTCAAGTTTTTGAAGTCTGACAAAATGAGAGCGATGAGAGAATCTTCACCCTCCGGAACCGGGATACTTTCCGCTGCCGAAAAGGTCGTATATGTCGGCTCGTAACGAAGCAGAATGTGGGCCGCCCTGCTTTGTTTCTGAAGACTTTGACGGCCGAAATATTTGAGCGCGACTTCGATATCCGAAAGAATAACGCCGTCAGTTAAAGACAGAACTTTCTTCAAATTTCTCCCTACACAAGCCAAGTCGTAACATTTCGAAAAAGAGGCTTTACAACAAAAACGAACAAATAATAAAAGCGAGAAAGCAATAAGCCACCTGGCTCGCCCCTCCATCTAGGAATAGGGTCGGCGTGATCCTTCCCTTCACCAAATTCCCAGTTACCCTGGACAACGACCATAACATCATCAACTCGTTTTCCAGAACTGGAAAGCATAGTTATCAGCTGATGGTCGACATCCTTGGCCCTAAGGAAGAAATGCCCGTGCCGACCAGAAGACTTAGCCAAGGCATAACAATGCCGGATGGCTGGAATGCCAAGGTTAATTCTTAGGCGACGGTTGAGCGCTATAACCCCCATTATGACTCTAAAGAAATTCGCATTAGGTTGGGAAGGGATTAAACCCCAATGGCGAAGCACAGCCCTAAGAAACGGGTGAAGGGGGAAACGGATTCCACCCTCTACAATTGACAAAATAGGAAAGACAATCGTGGTTTCATCCTCCCTCTCCATATCAAGAGTGCCGTCTGCCACAAGCGACAAACGGACATCATCAAGAATGGAGAAATGGCTTTTAAAGCCAGCAATACGATCTGACGAGAGGAGGTCTTTTAAATGTTTCGCCATATCCTAGTCTATGAGAATATGCCAAGGAAGGAATAAATCAGAAAGAGTCCTCGAAGCGAGGGAGGAGAGAACTAACAAAGGACGAAGAGGATATCGGAGGAGAGTTTCGAAGATGATCCAGAAGGCAATCCAGCGATGAGCATCATAAAATATATACTGAAAAGGACCTCAAAATTTTAAATCGCAATAAATAGACACGTACAAGGGGGCGAGGAGTCGACACGACAATCAAAAGGGGTGCGCTTAAATGTCCATAGGAGGATGAGGCCAACCACCGAATTTTGGCTCCGACTTTTAGGAATTCAAAACCAAGCACTCCAGCCAACTGTCGTCGGTGAAATGCTTGGGGGGCAATTGTGGGAGACGAATAAATAGAAGAGTCGGAGGATGCGTGCTCCAGAAATTAGATACTATCCGGCTTCTTGTTGCGTGACCAGGACTCCGAATATGTGAGTAAAGCCGAATAGATGGAGATCAGTAGCTCCGAATGAAAGAAAGGGCAAAGATCAAAAAGTAGGCCCTGGCCCCGAGGATCAAAAAGAACAGGTATAAATACAGGAACAACGGTTATAGAAAGGTATGTAAGAATCACTTCACAAAGACTTAGAAAGTAAGCTATCCTGAGTGTCTGAACTAACTTGTCCATCGGAGTGCTAATTCTGGCACCCCCGACCGGAGTGCTTGTATCTTTTCAGGTGACTAGCTGAGGATCACTAGCGTCTCCCAGGATCCGAAGAGTATTTCCAAACCACTTCCCCACAGGATGTTTAGAAAAGACTTAGACATCATGCATGACGTTCTTGGTGTATATGAAATGATTGATAGCAACGTGATTCGTATATGTAATATCTGCTAACAAGCATTTCGAAATGGTTACTATCCATGTTTATTTGTATATCTCTGGTGTATATTGTAATTGATTGTTATGTAGAACATGGTGAGAACAATGATGGAAGATCCGGAGGGTTCTACCTCCGCAAGGTTAGACAGAATAGAAAGAATGATCATGGAGATGGCGGAGACTCTACGGCAACAACAACAGGAGCAGCCACAACCACAGCCGCCACCGCCACCGATACCTCTACCTGTGGTGCAAGATTATCACATTGAGGACCGAACTATCACTCTTACAAAGGAATTCAAGAAAATAAAGCCATCAATATTTAAACGGGGAATTGATCCGATGAAAGCAGAAACATGGGTATTGGGTGTCGAGAAGCTATTTGAGGTGTTTCCATGCATTGAAGCGCAGAAGGTACAATTGGCTGCTTTCACCCTGGAAGACGAAGCTCGTAGGTGGTGGATGCTTACAAGAACTGAACATCAAGGGTTGATCTGGACTCGATTTCTGGAACTCTTCTATGACAAGTATTTCCCGCAGTGTATACGAGATAAGAAGGTGACTGAATTTGAGACTCTCAGACAAGGGAACAAGACTGTTGCGGAGTATGAAGCCCAATTTGCAAAACTAGCCCAGTTTGCACCGCATATGGTGGATACGAATTATAAGAAGGCGAGGAAGTTTGAGGGGGGATTACGGAATGCTATCCTTGATCGAATCAATGTGCTGAAGCTACCCACATATGTTGATGTGTTAGAGAGGGCTGTCATGGCAGAGGGGAATATTACTGCACAAAATCAAATTTCCGAGTGGAGGGGGAAGAGGCAGAATACTCAAGTATCCAAGGGGCCAACACCTCCACCAAATAAGAAACTGAATTCGGGAACCTCAAGTACTTCCACTCCTACTCGAGACTCAGCCCTCGTTTGTTCAGATTGTGGGAAGAAGCACCGTGGGACTTGCTATTGGGTGACCGGGGCATGTTTTAGGTGCGGCAAAACAGGTCATCTGGTAAAGGACTGCCCTCAAAGGAATCAACAAAATGGAAATAGAGCTACTACAAGTTCAGTAGGGTTTACACCAGCTCCCAACACCAAGTCAGCTGCAAAGTTTACCAACAATAAGGACACCGCTAGGCAAGGAAGGGTGTTTGCGTTGGTTCCGGGCGATGTGCAAAATGATGCAGCCGTGGTGTCAGGTACATTTATTATTCACGGTCATTCTGCTCATGTGTTGTTTGATTCTGGTTCCACCCACTCCTTTGTGTTAAAAATATTTGTTCAAAATTTAGATAAATCTGAGGAATTATTACCTTATGTATTGTGTGTGTCTTTACCTTTGGGGGATTTTATGGTCTGTACATCTATTTATTTAGCTTGTGAACTTTTAATTGGGAATGTCCGGGTATATGCCAACCTGCTACCTCTTGACATGACTCACTTCGATATTATTCTGGGAATGAACTGGTTAAATGAGCATCAAGCGACTATTGATTGTACGACCAAGAAAATCAGTTTCCACCATCCGGGGCAGTCAGAATTCACTTTTAAGGGGCATGGAGTGATTTCTCCACCTTATATAATTTCCGCAGTGAAAGCATACAAATTGTTACAGAAAGGGTGTCAGGGGTATTTGTGCAGTGTCTTGGAGGGGCAATCAACGAATGGGGGCACTAATATGATTCCAGTTGTCTGTGAATTTCCGGATGTTTTTCCGGAGGAGTTACCAGGGGAGTTAGTAGACCGTGAAATTGAGTTTACAATTGAAGTGGTGCCAGGAACTCAACCCATTTCTAAAACCCCGTATAGGATGTCACCGGTTGAGATGAAAGAACTAAAGATTCAGTTGCAAGATTTACTGGATAAGGGGTTCATTCGCCTGAGTGTTTCTCCTTGGGGTGCACCATTCCTGTTTGTGAAAAAGAAAGATGGAACACTTCGATGATGTGTGGATTACAGGGAACTTAACAAGGTAACAATCAAGAATAAGTACACGTTGCCTCGTATCGATGATTTATTTGACCAGCTACAAGGGGCACAAGTCTTTTTGAAAATTGATTTACGGTCCGGATACCACCAACTGAAGGTCAAAGCTGATGATGTTGACAAAACTACCTTCCGAACCCAGTACGGTCATTATGAATTCTTGGTTATGCCCTTCGGAGTTACCAACGCACCGACAACATTTATAGATTTAATGAATCATATCTTCAAGCCTTACTTGGATGAGTTTGTAGTGGTATTTATCGACGATATCCTCATTTATTCAAAAGACGTAGAAGCTCATGAGAATCATCTCCGAATAATTCTTCAGACACTCCGAGACAAGAAACTGTATGTAAAGTTAAAGAAATGTGAGTTTTGGCTGCATGAGGTGGGGTTCTTGGGACATGTGATAATGAAGGAAGGTGTTTCCGTCGACCCGCACAAGATTGAAGCAATCGTAAATTGGCCAACCCCTACTAATGTGACCGAGGTGCGTAGTTTCTTGGGACTAGCTGGGAATACCGGAGGTTTGTAAAAGATTTCTCCAAAATCGGCGTGCCACTTACCCAATTGACTCAGAAGGGGGTTTTGTTTGAGTGGTCAGAACAGCGGGAATCTGCCTTCCAGGAATTAAAGACAAAGTTAATTACGGCACCGGTTCTTGCATTACCATCTGGCACTGAAGGATTTGTAATCTACAGTGACGCTTCTTATAAAGGACTTGGCTGTGTACTTATGAAAAATGGGAGAGTCATCGCTTATGCTTCCCGACAACTTAAACCCCATGAAAAGAACTATCCCACACATGACCTTGAACTAGCAACGGTAGTTTTTTCTTTGAAGATATGGCGGCACTATTTGTATGGTACTACCTTTGAACTCTACATTGATCATAAGAGCCTCAAGTACCTCTTTACCCAAAAGGAGTTGAATATGCGACAGCGACGATGATTGGAACTTATTAAGGACTATGATTTGCAGATCCATTACCATCCCAGTAAAGCCAATACGGTTGCAGACGCACTTAGTCGAAAGGGTATGGGGCATTTGGAAAATTTGATCACGGGGCGAAAGGAATTGTCACTTGAATTAAAAATGATGAACATAGACATTGTAATGCATGAACGGGACGCTATGGTGGCAGCAATGACAGCCCAACCAACTTTAGTTGAGGAAATCCAACAACAGCAGTTGGAAGATGAATTCTTAAGGAAGATCAGTGATGATATAGTAACAAAACCAAGGCCTGGATTCGATCTTGTAAATTCAGTGCTCAGATATCAAGGCAGATTATGTGTTCCCAATGTGTCTGAAATTAAAAAGAACTTGATGGAAGAAGCACATGCCTCGAGATTTTCAATACATCCCGGGAGTACCAAGATGTATCGAGATTTAAAGAAAAAATTTTGGTGGCCAAATATGAAGAAAGAAATTGCGAAATTCGTTTCAAAATGTTTACAATGTCAGCAAGTAAAGGTGGAGCATCAGAGACCGGCAGGGTTGCTACAACCCCTTCCAATCCCGGAGTGGAAGTGGGAACATTTGACTATGGATTTCGTTGTAGGTTTACCACGGACTCCTCGGGGCATGAATTCTATATGGGTCATTGTAGACCGGTTAACTAAATCCGCTCATTTCCTACTTGTGAAAACTCAGTATAACGCGGATAACCTTGCTGTGATTTACGTGAACGAAATTGTAAGACTCCATGGTGTTCCAGTTTCGATTGTGTCAGACAGAGACCCAAAATTTATATCTAGATTTTGGCAAAGTTTACAGAATGCTATGGGGACAGAGTTAAAGTTTAACACAACTTTTCACCCTTAGACAGATGGGCAATCCGAGAGGACAATACAAACTTTAGAAAATATGCTACGAATGTGTGTTTTAGACTTTCAGGGAAGCTAGGAAACCCATATACCATTGGTGGAGTTTGCATACAATAATAGTTACCATTCGAGCATTGGAATGGCACCTTATGAAGCTTTATATGGAAGACCATGTCGCTCCCCCGTGTGTTGGGCCGAAGTCAGAGATAGATCATTGTTAGGAACTGAAATCGTACAGTTGACGACCGAAAAGATTAAAACTATTCGTGAAAGATTGAAAACCGCTCAAAGTAGACAAAAACATTATGCGGATAACCGACGAAGGGATTTGGAATTTGATGTAGGTAATCATGTTTTTGTGAAAGTTACTCCAATGAAGAGACATCCAAGATTCGGTAAAAAGGGTAAGTCAACACCCCGATATGTTGGTTCGTTCTAGATTCTGGAGAAAGTGGGTCCGGTAGCTTATTGCATTGCTCTTCCACCGAGTATGGGCCAAGTGCATAATGTATTTCACATCTCCATGTTGCGAGGTTATCTTCCAGATCCATCTCATGTCATAAATTACCACCAAATTACGTTGGATGATAAATTAACCTATGAAGAAAAACCAATTCGGGTTTCGGATTGGCAAGTAAAACAGCTACGGAATCGAGAAATCCCAATGATAAAAGTGGAATGGCAAGAACATTACGGGACCGAAGCTACTTGGGAGAAAGAAGAGGAAATGCAACACCAATATCCTGAATTGTTTCTATCGTAAGGTAAAACAAGTTTGGGAGACCAAACTTATTTAAGGGGGGGAGAGTGTAATAACCCGACCCTCTTATATGTTTTCTAGTATGCTTTCAGTCCCTTACTATGTGCATTTACATGTTTAATGTGAAATTCCATGTGAAATTAAGTTTAATTGTGTGGATCATATGATTATAGATCTATATCTGTCAATTATGAGAAATATCTATTACAATTGTGACGTTTGAATCAGTAATTAAGAGCCTTAGAAGCTTGATAATCCGAAATTGACTGTATAAGTGTGATAAGCATGATTTTTAGATCATAATATGATTTTTTGTAAAAATTTGATTCGTAATGACTAAACTGATTAAATTATTGTCAACTCTTATATAACTCTTACATGTCTCTTTTTAACTCTTAACTTAGTAAGTCTATTACACAAAAAAAAAAAAAAATCTCCTGTGAGAAGAGAGAGTTAGAGAGGAAGAACAAAGAGGAGAAAGCTTCAACAAGAAGGAGATTGGGAAATTGAGAAGAATTATAGAGATTTGAGCTCAAGGTAGGTTCAATCCACCTAGAACAATCCCTCACTTGAACTTGAGTAAGAATTTCCTTTGTATTCATACAAATTAGGGTTTGTGGTTGAGATCTTGTGTGTGATAATTGAGTAATTGAGGGAATATCTCTTGTGTTTGGTGGATTTGGAATTATGTTGAGCCATGAGTGGAAATTGTAATTTATTCTTTAGATTTACATGTTTGAATTCATCTATGTATTTAGAATATATATATATATATGTATATGTAGGTTTGGAAAACTAAATATAGCTAGAAATTTAAAGGAATTAAATTGTGTTTATTGGTTTGAAGGGATCAAAAACCAATGAGCTTGTGGTTCATGTTTATTGTGATATTGCACCCTGATATTGCATTGATTTCGTTATTTTTTACTCTACAATGTGTTTGCTTTGTTGAATTTTTGCCTAAATTCGAACTGCTCAAAACAGGGACAGCGACTGCATATGCGGAGCTCATGGCCGCACGTGCGAGAGCACCGCCGTACGTGCGGGGCTCACAGCCGCACGTGCGGAAAACAGGGGAATTTGGAACTTAGGTACTACAAAATATGCACGTGCGGGACGCACATGCGGCCCACCTTTCCGCACGTGCGGCAAGGGGCTTCCGCACGTGCGGCCCATGGGGAGAAATTCTATGTACTCCGTTTCTTCTGTTTGACCCTCTGGGATTGCTAAAATGTGTATTTGAAACTTTTAAAATGCTTGTAATTTGATAAAGATTGAACGAAACAGAGATTGATTAAAAAGGAAAGGGACTAATTTGTGAGTTGCATGTGCGTGTAGGTCACATACCGGAAGGGACTATTGCTCCGCCACAGCACTGTGAGTAATAGTACTGTAGTGATATATTTCGTTTACTGTTAATAGTTATTGTTAACGTTCTGTTATTTGTAAGTTAACTATATCGATTCGTGATAAACAATTGGAAAACTTATGTGCGTTATTGAACAATGATATCCTTATAGACCTGAGATCATCCTACTTTGCTAATGATGGGCCCGAGGCCGTTTAGTTATAAGCCACTAAGTGTGGACAAATCCAAAGAAGAGAAAGGTGAGGACATGCTGATGTCTCATCGACCATAATGTGATTTGAATTAAATATGATTCATGGCCTCTGGCCGAGGGAGGTGGTGAACATATTGATGTACCACCTACCCTTTAATGTTCAGACAGCTGTTGATAAGTGGGCCCGAGGCCATTCCGTATGATATGTTGGGCCTGAGGCCGTTCTGCATGATATTGGACCTGAGGCCGTTTTGGAAATATTTACAGAACAAGATCAAACATATGACCTATGCGCTTATATACGTTATAATTCAAGTTATTCATTTGAATTCTCTACGTACTATTATTCACTGAGCCTTGCTCACTCCGTGTTATGTCTGTCTCTATAGGTAATCAACCCGGAGGTCAGTCTTAGTCCAGCCTAACAACTATTATTTTTGATCATCCCGCTGTGCCCAGGCAGTCCAGTGGAGTTACCCATTTTTGTAAAGCTCCTTTTTTTGCTCATAGCGTGGGTTTCTAGCTTTTGTCAAATGTAGTAAAGCATGTATAGCCTTTACTATCGATGCTGTGGTTATACCCCCAGTTGCGGGGATGGGACTGTATATATGTATGTATATAACTGTCTCTTATGTGTTTGCTCTTTATGCGTTGGGCTATTGATGAAATGTTTTGTGATCCTGGCATGTAAGTGTTAGCTCAATGGATGATGTTTTAAGTAGATAATTGCTTCCATTCGGGCCCCTTATTATATAATTATTGAGTTTTGAGACCGTTATCGAGTTGGTTATGCCCAAACTTCTAGGGGCAAGTTTGGGGTGTGACAATTTACGTAATATATATGTATATATATGTGGGTGAGCAAGTTGAGCATCAAGGATAGAGATCTCCTCGGAGTCACCCCATGGTCAGCCTTTTGTGGAGCTCCCGAGATGGAGCCAACTTGGACTCATGCGGAGCCGAGCAAAGTCTAAACCTTTTTTTGTTATGAACTTTATGAACTCTTAGTTGATTTTTGGTATAGGGGTTTTTGTGTATGTAAGACTTGACAAGTTCAAAATTGTGGGCTGAATGTTTGTTTTTATTTAAAACGTTTGTGGTGTATGCACTTACTTATATAATGATTGTACAGTTTTTGTTATCCCAGGTAGGCAACCCAAGAGGGCGGTTGAATTGGGTTATTAAAAATTTTACAATATTAAAACTAACACCATATTTAGAATTTTAACAAAAAAAAAAAAAACACAGAATAATGATTATTAATATAAAAGTAAGAGAGATAGGGAGAACAAATCAAATACTGAGATTTATAGTGGTTCGGCACGCCAGGCCTATGTCCACTCCCCAAGGAATCTCCTTGAGAATTTCTTTACTATCAATTGAATAAATATACCACCAAGCTTGTGATTTGGCACATGACTTACTCTTATCTATTGAGCCTCACTCAGCAATAAATGCATCACCCTTACAAAATCTCTCACAAAAATAATGAATAAAAATAAGTGGTACTTAAACTCTTTTTTACAATAATTCTCTCACAAAGAGTATATATGAAAGTGTAAGAACAATGGCTACACTTAGATTTGAAAGTGAAAGAGCAGAATACAATATATTCAGAATTTTGGAACACACAAAAATTTTTCTCTTCAAGTTCTTGATTTTTCTTCACACACAACACTTCTATTTATACACAAAAATATACCCGTTTAGACGCTCCTTGCTGACGTCATAAGCACGCTGCTGACGTCATGGCTAACATAGGCACGCTCCTTGATTTTAAAAAGTTAGCAAATGTTAATAATTAAAAAAGATAAAAGAAGACTAATTTTTTTCTTTTCCTCTTTTTGTTTTTTCAAACATGGAGCCACCGTTTTTGTAGACAATTTAATATAAAGTTCACAACTTTCAAACAAGCAAATGATTTGCTTCATCTTGTTTTATTATAATATATAACTCCATCTTTTTCTTCTTGTTTTATTATAATATGATATAATCAATGTAGTGTAAAAAATTTAATTGCTTACGTGATGTATTCTATTTATATTATATGCAATCTATATAATATTCTAATCAAATATTTGCATATATAGTAAAATCCCTTTAAGTAATATTTATAATAGATTTGATCATATATACTCTTTTTCTGTATATGTTGTAGAGATTTTAAATTAAATATAACCTTCCACTCCATATCAATTTTGTCAAAAGAAGACAACCCATTAATACCAAATTTGTCAAAATAATACAACCAATCAATATCAAATTTGTCAAAAGATGAATAGTGACCAGCCTAATTTTTCAAAAAGTGAATAGTAAAGTTTTCAAAAATATTTTTTATTTAAATAATATTTAACAAATGTATCATACAATATATATTTTAAATAGATAATATTTTGTGTCAAATAATATAAAATATGTATATTATTTACAAATTTTCAATTAATATTTTAGACATCATCAAAATTAAACAACATAATTAACAATCTCCCCCTTTTTGATGATGGCAATATTTGTATGGATTTGACACAAAATAAAAATTAACAAGTTATTTGATAATTTTGCAACATAAAATATTTAACATAAAAATTTAAAGCGCATGCATGCACAGCAATTCAAAGTCATATTTTTTTCTCCCCCTTTGACATCATCAAAATAAAATATGGAGATAAGAAACAT